TTTTAGAGTTTGTATGGTAACATTCCAGTTTTTTAATTTTTTTGTTCTTTGGTTCCCCGGGATAGAAAAAAACAGAAATCCGTTTGGTAACGTCAGTTAATTTTTTTATTCCCTAGAATAGAAAAGTTGTCAGAGAATAGATTTGGAATAGAAATAAAAAGTAAAAAAAATCTCTTTTTCTGTTCTCGAGAACAAAAAGAGAAACAAGATTAGCTCTTTTTCACTTTCACAAGATATTTTCATGCTAAACCTTAAACCCCAAACCCTAAAACCTGAATCCCTAAACCCTGTACCCGAACACCAAAATTCAAAACACTAAGGGCCTGTTTGGTAACCGGCCAAACAGTGCTTGATTCTATTCTTTTGTTTCCGGGAACAAAAAAAGAACAAAAATCCGTTTGGTAAATTTTTTGTTCCCGGGTACAAATTTGTTCCCAGAATCAGTTTTGGAACAGAATCAAAAATAAAAAAAAGTTGATCTTGATTCTGGGAACAAGAATCGGAAATGGAAACGAATTTTTTTCTTCTTCTTCTTCTTCTTTCTTGGCCTGTGGTCGGTGGCAGGCCGACGAGGGCGTCACGGCTTGGGCGAGGGCTGCCCTTGCCCAAGCCGCGAGCCGCCCTCGCCTAGGCCGCGAGTGGCGAGGGCTGGACCCTCACGGCCTAGGCAAGGGGCGACCTCGCAGGACCCTCGCCAGATTTGGCGAGGGCGGCTCGTGGCCTAGGCGAGGGTCCAGCCCTCGCCAGATCCGGCGAGGGTGGCCCTTGCCCAAGCCGTGGGGGTCCAGTCCTTGCCCTCGCCAGCCTTAGCTTGTGGCCGGTCGCCCACGCCGGTGACCTGGCCATGGGCCAAGGAAGAAGAAGAATAAAAAAAGATAAGAAAAAAAAAGGAAAAAAAGAAAGAAATATTTAAAAAAATCAAAATATTATTAAAATATTATTAATAAAAAGAAATTTTGTGCAGTTACGAAGCGCATTTCTGTTCTTTTTCTATTACATGAATATAAATTTTGAGTAGTTACCAAACGCTTTCAAATGCTTAGAAATTGTTTCCGGGAATGGAATAAAAAAAATCATTTCTAAGCAAAAATTATTTCCGGGAACAGAATGGTTACCAAACGCACCCTAAACCCTAAACCCTAAACCCCAAACCTCAAACCCCAAACCCCAAAACCCGAATCCATAAAATCCTAACCCTAAACTGCAATTTCCACGACCACTACCCAGTATTTATTTTGTCTATGAGAAGTAATTTTCTCTATGATTGTATTAATATCATCCAATTCTATATTATAATATATTGTAATTCTATTTTTAGTTTAGTTTTATCCAAACATGAATTGTTAAATCTCTACTGACAATTTTATAATTAAATAAAAAAATTGGGAGTAGATATTTTTAGGGTTGTACCAAATGCATCAATGTTCTTTTTCTATTTTGGGAATCAAAATTTTGTCCATTTAACAAATGCGTTCTTCTGCTAAAAAATTCATCCAAAGAATAAAAATAGAAAAAACTATTAATGAACAGAAATTGTTCCCAATAACAAAAACGTCACCAAACAGACCCTTAATTATCTCCATTAGAGGTGATCAGTTTTTGGTCCGGTCCAGTCCCACCGGGGAACTGGACCGGAGGGACCGATTTCTAGTTTCCGGAACCAGGGACAAATCTAGTCCGGTTTCTAAGCAGTCCAATGGAACCAATTATTGTGGAGAAGAATAAACTCGAAGACGCCCGGAACTCGCAACGATAGTATAATAGGTTCTGGGAATTTCCTCCAAGTCGTGGCCAATAACTTTGATGTCCTCGCACTGTATGTCTTTGTAGTTTCTTATGTTTTGAGTTGTTGTTTGTGCTTTGCTGGTCTTTGATGAAGTAAAGTTGGGTTCTTTGAGCTTGATACGCAGGCCTCTCGTCACTCTCGTTTATCCTTTGTAAGTTTGGGTTCAAACTACACTAGTTTTGGTTTGAGGGTCTTTTCATTTTTTTCGAAATTATGGAGTTTGGTTTCATCTGTCTCTATCTTTGGCTTTTCTTTTTTGGGGGGGTTTTACTATGGTATGCTTCGATATGGGCAATAGAGACCAGGTCTCGCACAGATGATCATAATGGCTCACTTACTGGGTTCTCTATTTCTTGATTACCCTCTTTGAGCTTACTTTTGCCAAACTCGTCGAATGGTAATCCAATTTGTTCAACCAGGTCGACTAAGTCGTCTCTGTGGAGCGTCAAGCTTGAGCGAGAGGGAAAGAGGCAGGAACGTCGAGCGAGAGGCGATTAGGAGAGAGGAGAGGGAAAGAATAAAGAGGAGGCGTGAGCATCATGGGCAAATTCGAAAAGACCGAAAGAGGAGAGCAACAGGAAAAGTGCGTGAGGGATTTTAGATTATTAAGTTTACTTTCAAAAATAACAAAATAAATGAAAACTAATCGGTCCGGACGATCCGGTTCCATCGGTTTTCCCCCCTTAGAACCGGGAATTGGATCACCTGGACACCGGTTTTACTTTTGGATTCCGGTTCGATCAGTCCATCTAGCTCACCCCTAATCTCCACTCATAAAAATTCCTAATGCTACGACAGCTATTGGTTGCAATGTTGCCACCAGTACTACCAGTCAGTGGAGCAATTGTTTTTGCTTAAGAAATCATAAGGGGCCATGTTTTTCTCTAATTCAAGTGAAAAACACCCTTCAATGAAATCTCTAATTGGCGAGTTACGAGCATAGACATCAATCATATTTAATTTTGATTAATTTTACATGCAGATAATATCCATAACTTGTAATTCACAAAGGCATAGCTGGAGGGTGTTTCAAGAAGATATTTGCTAATCATAAATTGCAATCAGAGCTTACTTTAGTTTGAGATGGAACATTCTTTTAAAAATGTTAGACAAACCTTTATTTCCAAAAGTTCAGGTTGTTAGGACTTAACGTTGATCCTCGCGTTTAACTTACACGCAAGATGTGTTATAGAGTGAACCACTTTAATAGAATAACCGGTGAAGTATGAATGGTAACATGAACAACAAGCTGAAGAAGATTGAAAGGAGGTAATTATCTAAAAAGTCTTAAATTTATTGTACGACGATCAATTCAATCCTAAATTTTTCAACTTGACCAATTTTATCCCAAACCTTTAAATGATTTGCAAATGCAGTCCTGCCTTGATTGACAATTACTAATGTGGATGTCGGTCGTCCTATATGGTACAATCGGCATTGGCCTGAACAAATTTTTAACATTTTCTGAATTTTTTATTTTTTATTTTTTATTTTTATCTTATTTTCCTATTTACCTCCACTGATCATCAAGGCCGGTCAGAGGGAAATAGGGTAAAAGATAAAAGAAAAGCAAAAAAAAAAAAGAAAAAAGTTGAAATTTTTTAAAAATTGCAAAAATCGTCTACATCTGTCCCGGCAGTACCACATAAAATGATTGACATTGACTAAACTGCTACGTCAGCAATATTCAGCCAAATTAGCTTGAATGACTACATTGAGAAATTATCAAAATGTTTGAGATTAAATTAGTCAAATTAAAAAGTTTTCAATTGAATTGGTTGCTGTAATATAGGCATAGGTTTTTTGGGCAATTTTCCCAAATTGAGAGAGATAGCCGGGGTTCGAACCTTCTACCCAAACTCTTGACTAGACAGTAAACATGTTATTTGTGAAATCGAAACATGTAACTCATTACCATATATAACCAAGTTGTCTAAAAAATTAACGTCTAAACTTTTAAGAATATAAATTTGAAATCTTATACTGTCATTCAAGTTTTCCCTTTTTTTGTTATAACGGATAAAATATGTTATGGATTTGTCATTTAAATTGCTGCACATATATACATATATATATTTGTTTCATGAAAAATTTCATGAAATAAAAAATGCTTTTCATGGAAATCATTTAAAGAAAATAGTTAGTTTTTATTTTGATGATATATTGAAAAGTGTGACCGAAAACGTCTATGGGTATTTGGATCTCATTTATGAAAATAAATCTCGTCAATGTAATGAATATAATTCCTTAAAACGATCTGGTAAGGTGTAAAGTATAAAATATTTTATTTCTTTGACAAAATGTATGGGCAATTACGTCAAATATCAAAAGGCATAGGAAAAGCGAAATAATATATCAAAAAATGTCAATGAAATAAAAGACATTGGAAAATGATTTCCTCTATTCATAATTGGGAATTCATTTTACTAAGGGAAAATTTCAAATAAGAGTATGAAGTATCATTATTTTCTCAAATAAAGGCCCGAAGTGGCCAAATCGTTTCAAATAAAGACTTTTGGCCAACCAGCCAATATGCGACTATTTTGGCAAATGGCATTTTAGTATAAAAAATTCTAAGTATATATATATTTTACTTTACTTTACTTTCCTTTTCCTTTTCCTTTTCCTTTTTTATTATTTTTTCTTTTTTTTTCTTCCCTCCCCAACCATCGCTGCGCCTCACCGCCGGCCTCAGGTGAGGGCCACCCTCGTCGACGTCTGGCGAGGGTCGCCCTCGCCTGGGTTGGGCGAGCGAGGGCGACCCTCGCCACATCTGTCGAGGGCAACCCTTGCCCTCACCCGACACCGGAGAGGGTGGCCTTCACCTGAGTTTAATGACCAACTATGGCTGGCGGAGGGAAGAGGGAAAAATAAAAAAAGAAGGAAAGAAAAAGAAAAAAAAATAGAAAAAGGCAAAAAGAAGAAAAAAAGAAAAAAAAATTAAAAAGTAAAGAACAAAAATGCCCTTTGGCCAGTGAGGTCGGGCCCTTCTGATATGACAACTTCAAGCACTTATTTGATATGGCCGGTGAGATCGGGCCTTTCCGTTCATCAATTTTTGTAAGCTATCCAAGCAATTAATTTTAAATATATATTTTTCGCGAAATAAAATGAAATTTTTTTTTTTTCGCCGGAGAAACGGAATAATCCCCCTCGGACGGACCGAATCAGCACGTCGTGCAAATCCGACGCTCACCAACCAGGCAACCACCACCATTTGAAGTTGAACCCTCGCTCTCTCTCTCTCGCTCGCTCCGCATCTCCTTTTCCTCGTCTCTTTATCCCACTTCGTTTCCTCCTCCCCGCACCCACAACACCACCACCACCACTTCGCCCGATACGATATTCAACCCACTCCCGAACGAAGGCAACATGAAGGCGTCGCTGAAGGGGAAGTACGACCTGGACAAGAACGGCGCCGCCGCGACCCTCGGCGTCGGCGCCGGCGAGCTCAAGCTCCGCGCCTCCATCACCGACGCCACCGTCGTCAAGGGCCCAAGCATGAACGGCTTGGTCCTCGCCGTCGAGAAGCCCGGATTCTTCATCGTCGACTACAACGTCCCCAAGAAGGTCGAGTTCCGTTCTCTCTCTTCTCACTCGCGAATTCCCAAATTTCCGGGCTTTCGTTGGTTATGGGTGTTGGTGACAAATGGGTTGCCTATTGGGTGAAATTATTACATGGGGTATTTAGGCTCAGGCTCTGTGAAATTCAAGCTTGAAGTTCAGTAATCGTGAGCTGATTTCTGGGTTTTGGTTGTTAATCACCTTGTTGTTGCATTCTGTTGCGTAGGACTTTAGGTTCCAGTTCATGAACTCGGTCCGAATTGCCGAGAAGAAGTTGAATTTGACGTACATCCACAGCAGGGGCGATAACCGGACGATTCTCGAAGGGGCGCTCGTGATCGATCCGGCTAATAAGTTGTCGGCAAATTACTTGCTTGGTCCGGGGAATTGCAAGTTGAAGTACACTTATGTCCATAAAGGGTTGACTACATTCGAGCCTTCCTATGATTTGTCGAAGAATTCGTGGGATTTTGCGGTGGCGAGGAATGTATATGGGGATGATGTCCTCAGGGCGACTTACCAGACTACGAGCAAGGCGTTGGGGCTGGAGTGGTCGAGGAATTCGAAGTTGAATGGGTGTTTCAAGGTATGGGTTTATTTGTTGGTGCTTGGTATTTCTAATTTTGAGATGCTATCAGAAAGAGATTTTGCTCTCTTCATTTGATAGGAATCTAGAATATGAAGACCTTTATCTTGGCCTGATGAGTATTTAAAGTTACATTTCCCTTATGAAATAATACCAAGATATCATGCATGAGTCTAAGTGATAGCCTACTAAATAATATGAAAATGTTCTGAAGATCGTCTTAGGTAATATGGTTTCTTCATAATATAGCCATTGTTGTATTTGCCATCAGTAGACATTTTCCAAAACCGTCGTGGTTGCAGTATGCACAATAAACATCCTTCGGTTGTTTTTCAACTAAGATTGATTTGCCATCTGCACATCATTAAAGACAAGTCTGCTGATTCCCTGAATTTTAATATCATCACTTCAGTGTATCTTAATGTCAGTAAAGTAAAGAGTATGCATCTTATTAATAATACTAAGAGGTAAAACTACCTCTTTACTTTACTCATGCGTATCGCCAAAATTGGCTTGGGATCAGACTGATACTTGTTTAGCTTGTTTGGAGTTTATTTATTTTGTACTGATCTGCATGAGAATCACTTCGGAGCTTAGTTTGGATGGATTGTCCTCTAAATGTGCTTTCATGACCGCCCACTTATGGGCGATTGGCCTCTTAAGAATGGAGCAATCATACTTTTGAACTGTTTGACTCCATGCGGTCATTATCCACTTCAACATGATGCATGATTTACCGAAGCAGCTGTGGTTGATGGGTTTGTTTTATTATATAAGAAATGCCTCTCGGGTCGACGGATGATTCTCGAGTAACTTTGAGTTTTGAAGGTCCAAGGGCCCAGCTTTATAAAGGAGTGTCAGGAGATGAAAACGTGTATGTGCAAATACGATTATATGCTGCGACAGTTAGATTCCGTACTTTGAGAAGGGATAAAGAATTAGTTTTTTTTTTAATCATAAATCAGGGTATTCTAGAGCATAGGTGCTAGATTGACTAGTTACTGGTGATATTGCGCGAGTGCTTGCTTGTTATGTTGCTGCTTCTTCAGAAATCTGATTTCATCTGCGATTGTTGACTGAGATCTTATCTCTTTCGCAGATATCTGCTTCTCTCAATCTGAATGAAGAATCAAAGGTGCCAAAATTAACTGCTGAAAGTACGTGGAACTTCGACATGTGATTGATGCGTATTACTTCAAGGGGAGTCCTAGTTTCATTTTCTGGCTTGAAATTTATTTTACCTGGATAAGCATTCGCTACCCTAGTTGACTGTGGTCCTGAAATTTTTCAGCATTTATCTCTCACTTCTTGATACTTATAATTTATAAGAGAGAGAAGTTTGGGCAAAGTCTCCAATTTCCAAAGTGCTAAGTACCCCTTGGTAGTATTTTCAAGTGGGATTTTACGTTTCTGGGGATGAAACATTGCAATCTCCCTTTGCAGTTGTGAATCTATGTTGACCCGGTTGCCAAGAATTGTGTTTTTTTATCTGGGAAAGCTAAACAAAAGTGCAAGATTATGGACTCGTTAGTCATTATTCCCCAGAGTAACAGAGTGCACTTTTCTTGGGACTTGAATTGATGAGCAAAGAATTATTTTCACCTTGTCCGAGTGGTTTTACGATATCTTCTTGATCAAGCTAGCTCTTCACGGTGCATCAGAGCGCTTATCCAGCCTCTGAAGCAGCCTGAAGTTCAAGGCAGAGTGATTAGGAATCTTAGGATAGTGTCTAAAGCAGGGTGGAGAGCCTGTGATCGGGGTAATGGTTCAAGGATCAGAATTTTATGTTATGTCTTATGGTTTGAGGACGTGTACCATGTAATGCAAATATCACGTGGCATCGCTTTATCCGAGCGGAAAATGTTGATTCCTACGTGGCTGTCAGCAGATCTCTTTTTTGTTTATTGCATGCATGGGTGTTGGCAAAAATAAATAAACTGTACTGGAAACCTAATTTGGAATGATGCAATCCACACGAATAAATCTAACTCTAATCCCCAACTCACCTTCTAAATCTAACTGGAATCCTAACTAACTCTCTCTCTCTCTCTCAATAGGGCGAGCGACCGGTCATTAGGATCATGATTAGAGGATTAGAAGTCCACTCTTCTTTTTTCTTTTCTTTTTTTGAAGCGGTTGAAGGTTAGGAGTCTTAATCAACTTTTCTAACGGGGCTGTGCGTGCTTGAATCGGCTAGTGTACTATTCGTGATCGAAGATATGACATGACCACAATCCTTAAACTTGGGGCTGTCATCTCGAACTATGACACTTGGTATTAGAGTAAGGTTTCTGAATTTTATGTACCGTTGCCACTTGTTACTATGTTCGATTATATTTGAGTAGGGAAAGCTTTGATTGAACGAAGTGATAGAAGATGTATTCCTATTGGGTGAGCTATTGGTGATGGTGCATTATGGGGAGGGGGCGACAGCCAACCATGCATTTTGTTGGGCGAACATTGACCATTCATGTAAGACCTAAGGAGGGGCAACGATGGTTAGGGGAATGAAAGAAAGTGATAGAATGGCCTGCAACGAAGGCATCGCAAACATCAAGTGGGGAAGAATGTCACCATCTGACTTTTTCACATTTCATGAAGGCGTGAGAAGTGAGCCCTATTATACCGAGAGAAGCACGAGGGATGCTAAGTGAATTTGTAACTTAACAAATAATAGGACTGCAATACCAAAAGGGCGTCATGGGATCCTAATTTGTCTCACATGTAATCAAATCCTCAGACCTAAAATCTTAGATTTTTGTTTGATCAATTGATTTACAGGTGCACTTAAGTAGCTAGCTTTCAAATCACTACCCCTATCCTTACGAGTTTAATTAACCTGGATTTACTCGAATTGATTGGTGGCAATTCTAATATGGTTATATAAGTTCGTGATCACATTCAGACTCTGTAGATTCCTCGAGTCTAAGAACTGGGAAGATCTTAAGGACCAAAGTGCTATTAGTTGGTGAATACTGGTCTGCAAAATTTGATGTGCTACAGAATCAAATGAACAAAAAAAATCCAGAGACTTGATTAAACATTCTGTTACAGTTCATAAATGAATGGACCTATCTGCGTCTTGCAAGAGTAGACTTTACTACGCCCAGCATAAACTCAGCGTCTAGCAAGCAATCTCTCTCCCTTGAAATCGGGTTTTACACTTCACGCATCGCATTTAAACCCATTCTTTATGATCCGATCGATTGCACTCGTCTCTAATGCAGGTGGCTTGTATGACCTTGGCGGCAGATCATTCGGCTCTCGTCTCATAAAGGGCCGCTTCCAACCGGTGCATGCACGGGCCGAGCCGGTCCGGTCCGTTAAAGAGCGAACCGGTGATTTTCGCGCCATCGAAATCATCGGTCCCGCAAACATGTCGAGCGCCCAACTCTTCAAACTTTCAAAAGAAATCGTCGAAAGAGGAATTTCGTTGCCGCCTTTTTTTTTCACTTTTTGCCTCTCCACATTTCCATCATCACCAGCCAAAATCTCTCTCGCTCTCTCGATCGCCATCGGAAGAAGAAGATGGAGAGCGACGACGACTTCGAGCTGCTCCCTCCCGCAGATCCAACTTCCCCTCCGGTCCACGCGCGGAAGCTGAAGCGCCTCAAGAAGGCCGCCCTCGCCGCCGCCGCCGATCGCCGTCCTTCCCAGCTCCGCGGCAACAAAAGCCCCGACCCGCCGTCGCCACTCGCGCGTCCGCTTTGTCCCGAATCGCTGAGCTCGGAGGATTCAGGCGGCGGCCCGCGGCTCGAGGAACCGAGGGATGAGCCGTCGTCGGAGCTGGAGCTGGAGCTGCCTGCAGCGCCCGAGGATCTCCTTGGCGAGAGCGAGCTCGTCGGGTCGGGGTCTGCGCATTTCGACGGTGATGGCGAGGAGTTGGGCTCCGGAACTGATGGATCCCGAGCGAAAAGAGTCTTGGAGTTTGATCCCGCCGAGGAGCGGCTCGATGCGCGGAGTGGCGATGGGGACGGAGATGCGATCGGAGAGGGAAAGGAGGATCCGAGAAGCGATTGGCCTGAGAAGAGGCAGAACGGCACGGAGGTGGCCGATGGAGGTGTAGAGGAGGATACGAAGAAGGGGAAGAAGAGGAAATCGAAGGGAGGTGAGAATTGTGTCGAAGAGGATGAGAAGCACCAAGCTCATGCTACAAACAAAAGAAGAGCAGAGAAGGTGTTGTTACTCGCTTCCTTTTCGATGAAGCATAATTTTTTAATGATTGATTTCAGGCTGATGAAGTTGTTTTTTTGCCTTCCCTAATTGAACAGGAAAGAAGAGGCTATCTCGAGCAGCTTCGTGCAGACTCTCAGAGACTGTTGCGAGGTGCGTTTCCAGTCCTGATTTTTCTAAGCAACAGAATCCTGATAAACGTTGTAATTGAGTATCGTTGCATGACTGTACTGTCCTATTTGTATTCCATAGAGACTCGAGATGCGACCTTTAAACCTGTGCCTCTTGTTCAAAAGCCAATCTCTTCTATACTGGAGAAGATCCGGCAAAGGAAGCTTGAGCTTTCCAAGAAGTGAGTGTATCATTTTGTCATTTGGGTTTCGTGTTATGTTGTTGGTGTAACTATTACTGTTGTTTCCACTGTTTTACGCAGTGGTCAAATGATATGTGCGATTCTTTTTATCCATTCAGATCTGTCATGCTGAAGAATTTGTCCACCACATGTAGTTATGACGAGTTTTTGGGGGAGGATCTGGAGTTTGAGGTGGAAATTTCTCATAATAAGAAAGAGGTGGAGGATAAAGCCAAAAACGTAGGAGTGGAAGAAAATGTTGCAGGTTCTGGTGAGAAAGGGAGAGATGTAAGTGCCCCATCCTGTGGCGAGTCAGATGATACTTCAAATGAATCAGGTTCTGGAGGCGCTCCTTCGCAAAGGGTAAGCTTTTTATTTTTTTCCAAAGTTTCTCGATGGTTTTGATCAGTAGCAGAATTAAGCAGCATAGCACTTTCAGATAAATCTTATTTTCTGTGGCAGTTGTAAGTGAAACAGCCCTGCTAATTTTCCTAAAAGCAATTCTTTATGAACAACTTACTATGAAATCTTGAATTAGTACTAGCAACCTCCAGCAGTGCTCTTGTCCCTCTGTTCTGAATGTGGGAGAGATACCAATATACCACTAATACTAATTTATTTTCTGATCAAGTATGAAGGTTTTGAAGTTGACTATTTTCCTTATGTGTTTCTGGTGATCTGACATTGCGCTATAATTATCATTCTTTTGAACTCCAGGCTTTGGACGGGGGATCCAACCACACATTTCGAGCACCCATAAATGATACTCAGGTTTCCTCTGGAAGCACTACTTATTATTTGATTGATAAATTGCTGCCTCTTCTGTTGGAATGTCTATAAAGGGATTGCTGATCTTTTATTTCTGATGCAGGAATTATTTTCGGATTCACAAAGCAGTGAAAAGAAAGATGATTTACCTGATGAGATTCCCAAAAGTCCCGGGGAAGAAGTTTTTGCACCATCTTTACTTGCAATGAATTTGAAGTTTGATTCTGCTCCTCAAGATGACATGTAAGTCTTATATTCTCCAATTTTAATGATTGCCTCGATCCCACGCTTTGACTAATAAGAATCTTCATGGTGCTTTTTCTTTGCAATCTACTTCTCCCTTTATTTGTGAGAGTCGGTTTAAATACACTGCACAATTGACACTTCTCTATTTTGGTAGACTAAATATGTTCCTGGGTTCATTTACTTGAATACTGATAAATTGCTGAATATGGAATTTGTACTCCAAATAAACTCTTCATCCAATTCAGCATAAGTAGAATATGAAAGCATAATACTAACATGAGGGCAATGAGTAGAGTTGTGAAAAATATTGTAGGTGTTGCTCTGTTGCCTTGCAAACTGCTATTTGGGTACTGACCAATTATCGAGTATCAACTAAATTCTCAGTGCTATTTTATCCTTGGCAATCGTTGATCAATCCTGGACCATATTCAGACTTCAGAATCATAAATAACGTGCAAATTTAAGAGTTGCTTTTTTATTGCATTATTGAAATCACACGATTTGCTCAAGGACAAATTCTACTCTAGAAATTATTTCATTCCCATATTTCACAAGGAATATTCTGAATGGATGCTCAAAAGTGCACCACGGTCTAGAGCTGTGAACTGATTAAGCCATTGTTTATGTTATGAACTACATTGCATACAAGTAGAAAACATGTCCCTTCCTACACCACATGCAGCTACCATGATGATCTAGGTAATTGTTGCTGTGTAGTTATTTTTAATTTGGTTTGGAGCAAGTGATTCTGGTTATTCATTTTCATATATTTTTGGAACATCTTAATGATTTCTTTCGTCTCCTTCAAGGTCTGATGAGGAGGATGATAATAACAAGGAAAACGTCGATCCTCATATGCATCAATCAGTTGATTTGTCTTTATCTCCAAAAGGAGATCCTGTCAAAGATTTTATTGATGAGGAAGCTGTGGAAGAAGATGACAGTGATAATGATCTACTCCATTTCCAAGACAATGAAGAAGAGGACATTGAAGATGCTGAGGAACTTAATGAAATGATAGCAGTTGACTATAAAGAAAAACCTATAGATAATGAAAGGCGCAATCAACTTCACCAGGAGTGGCTTGAGCAGCAGGATGCTGCTGGGACAGAAAATCTGATGCAAAGACTAAATTGTGGTCTGAAACAGAGAGACACATCGCTGCTTGATCTGGAAGATGAGAAAGATGTAGAAGGTGAAGAAGATGAAGAGTTTGGGGATGATGACGCGGAAGATTTAGCTCCGGCAAATACTGCACGAACGAATTTACGTAAAGCAAAGCAGATGATTCCAGAAGTGTTTACTGATAAAGAAGATGCTTATATGTCTTCTGACGATGAAGAATTTGAGACACGGCTAGCCAAACAGTCCCTATTCAGAAAAACTGTGAGTCCTTGCAGTTAAAGTGATGCATTCATAAATTCAATTTCATATTATAAGACACGCATCAATTCAGTCTTTCCTTGTGTTTAAGCAACCCCCCATCCCCAAAAAAAAAAAAGAAAAAGAAAAAGAAAAAGAAAAAAGAAGTCTGTCCTTGTAAGTACAACTTTTAGCCTTCACCCGTGATCTTGTCGTTCCGGAACTTATAAGGTCTGAAATCAGTCTGTGAACTTTGCCATATTGGACAGGAAGCACATGCTCCTCTCATGTCACCAGCAGAGGATGAAGGCTCCAGAGAAGTATTTCATCGAATAAAGAAGCTGAATATGACCCCTGACAAGAGGAAGAAACCAAAAACATTATGTAAGATCTGCACTATCTCGTAATTGGTATTATAGTGCGTCAGCACGAAAAGTTAAGGCCATGCAGACCATTTCTAATAATTTATTCTTCTGCAGCCCGATTTGATGCACCTTTTGCACAAGGCAAAACAATTGGCATTTTAAAGGTAAAATTATCTCACCATTTGGATTTCGTGTAATCACTTGACACATTAAATGGTGGTTTGGTGATAGCGTGTCCTTGTTTCGTAAACTTTGATAACCTGGTCACTTGGTGCATATATGGATAGTGGACCCTTCTTACATTCCAAAATGTACCATAACGCCCCCTAATCGGTCATGGAATCTCTGTTGCGTTTGTTGGAAGTTTCACTAACACCACTTGTAATTTGATCTGCATACACTTGGATATCCTATGCCTCGATAAAGACACGAATATCTAGCTAGTTGTTTTCCACTTCGGGAAGATTGCATGGATGATAGGGATGGATTATTTTTCACAAGGCACGGAATGTCTTTTCTACCTTCATGATATCTTCTACTATTGTCATCTTTGTAAGAGCTGTATTTTGATCATATGTGCTTATCCTTTTGCTTTTGCTTATCATCCTCTTGAGTCGTTGATGGCAACTAAAATGCAGTTTACGTTCTTTCTAAATCAAGATGTCCTTGATTCCATCCATTACGATTCAAAGTTCTTGATAATAACCCATCAAACTTAGTAGAAGTCCATGCAACAATAGTTCGCTCTCAGTTTTCTTATTCTCTTATGTTGGAAAATGCAGCAGCCATCTTTTCTAGGTCGAGGGTCAAATCCTCTGCCATCATCAAAGAATCACAAGACAAGCACGGTTAGGACATTTATATTTGGACGGGATGACAGCAATAGCAAGAGCACCATATCAGCATCAGAGGACTCCTCAGACATGGTAAGATTTGGCAGTATTGTTAAAGAAGATTACTGATGAGAACTTCTAAGGACTAAAAACTCGGACAATCCTAATTGTAGCTAAGTGGACTTTGAGATAGAATGGTAATCACTTGATATATTTCCGTGGCATAATGGTAGTAATATGAAACTTCTGATCACCAATGCTAATGCAGATTCATAAGGAGAGTCGACCGACAAGAACTTCAGTGGCCAAGTTTAGCAGCTCGCAGTCAAAGAGTAGTACCCAAACAACAGAAACTGCTGATGGAGTAAGCTCAAACACAACATTATATGACATTCTGAGGCATTCTTCCGTGTACGCTGATCAGTGTGCTCGGGAAACTATTGTTAGCCAAACTGAAACAATGTTTGCAGCATTCAGATTAGGAAATAAGTCAAAAAGAAGCAGAATACTGATGTAGAAGTCGTCAGTGTCAAGAATCAGTATTGCTACTCTTCCCCTATTAGTGCTGCCTAATTAGCAGCATGTTGAGAACGAGAGAAATGACCTGCAAAGATAAATGACATTTGCTATTGGCAAATTTTACAGAAACATCATAGTTTCTGCATTTTTGGCTCTATTGTACCTGGTTAATGAGCTTACATGCGCGCATGCAGTTGTCTGTTTCTTTTGGTACATTTCTTATTAGCTCTACCCATGAGGAGTTTTCCTATAGCTCTTTTTTTTGTTCAAGCTTGGTGTAGATATGCCATATCGACTTCTGAATAAGCTTCACTCTAATTACTTTGGCGTGATAGTTACTACCAGAGTCTTAAATTCCTCTTACTGTTTTTTTAATGGAAGGTCTTAATGATTGTCTTTATTTAGCGCACGAGTCGATTGATTATGCATGTCGCGTGCTTTAGTGGAATAAGCTTTGGAAGATGCAGTATGTGCACAAGAGTAATACATACTACTGAGTTCTCCCGTGGAAGAAAACCAAAAAACTATGTTTTAGTTTACAAAACAAAAGCGTAGTACTTGATAAGAGTCCTATGGCATCTTAAAAACACCAAAAAAGATTTGAGTTTTAATAAAGTGGTTTTCCACTAAAGAGGTATTATAGCTGATGAAAATCTGCAGCACGGCAGTTTAGTAGATGTATATCACTTAAAAAACTCCTATAACCAAGCCATAAAATAGCTAATCGAGCTAACATGACTAAACACAAGGACCCCTAATTAATTGAGACTAAAAAAAGAGGATGACAGTCAAGTCGTGCATAAATCAGCAAACTTCGGAACAAAAGCACTTCGCTTCTGGACCCTTGGTGTGATTGGAACAACTTTCTCTGGAAGTTCAGATTGATAAGATCTACAACTTACACTCACCCCCTCCTAACCAACCAAATCAAAGCTCACCTTGAAGCCTATAAAAAGACACCTCAAGGGGCTCTTTAAGACAAGAAAGGAGAGAAGAAACAACAAAAGAACAGAGGAGAAAATGGAGCTTGTCAGCTGCACTTTTGGAGAATTGTTAGAAACATTTATTCCTTGTGTTCACTTAGAAATTAAATGGTTGTTGAGAGTTCAAGAGCACAAAAGGACACTTGAATAGCGCCTGAAAAGTGTCCTTAGCAACCCAAGATCAGAACAGCTGAAATACAGCTCTCGAAGTTGCCCGGGTCAGGACACTTAGAATACTCTGCATCTGATTTGAATTCCGGCCTTTAAACCTACATCTAGCTTACAAGAAAATATCCTAGCCTTTATAAAAGTTCAATGAAGACATCACTTGAAGGAATTTGCAAGGATTTTGAGGAAACCAACCTGTGAGAAGTAATGACATCGTGCAGCAAGATTTTCGGAGACTGATGTCATCCTTGGTTCATATATCTTGATCTGAAAAGGCTATTAAAGGGCCAGCAGGTATGTTTAAAGTGACATGAACTGAGCATCACAAGGAAAGGTAGAATTCTCTATTGCAATAACTTATATTCATTGGGAAGGTTTAGGACGGCAAGCTTAAGATTTGACGCAAGCGTAGTGGAAATTGGCATTCCACTCATTCCTGTAAGGAGAACTAGCTCTCCATCATTCAACTTTCTGCTCGTCTGAAAACCCTGTAATGTGTTACATACATAAAAGGTAGCTCCTGAGTCAATACACCAAAAGTCATCAAAATTAGCCAGCAGATAGCTCTCAACAAGTAGTACAATAGACGTAGCTTCAGTAGACTTTTCATTTTTGAGTAAAGCAAGGTACTGCTTGCAGTTTCGTTTCCAGTGACCCAGTTTCCTTCCTCACTCTTCTATTTCCTACAATTTCTTCATGCCTTTGACGAATCTTCTTCTTTTACATCAGTGCTTGAAGGACCTTCCCCCCTCTGATATCATGACACAGTGCTTATCCTTCTTGATTGAATCCTTAGCTGTCTGCAACATATTGCGAAGCACAGGAAGGGGTCACTGCCAGATTGTTAATGTTAAAATCCATTACAGACTGATTGTAAGAATCTGGTAGTGAAGAAAGAATAGCATCTATCTTTGTATCATTGTCCGTCTCAAACCCAAGGGTTTCCAATCCGCTGATGTCACCGATCAGTTTCACAACATGGTTATTAACTGGTGTGCCCTCGTGGACACGGTCCCTTTCACCACATTGAATCTTGCAGCGCAGCTTTGTTGTCCAAACATCGTCTTTTAACTAGCCATTATCTCCATGGATGTTCCGACCGGTCTCGTGCTGCCTTTGAAGCATGTTCTCAAGTGAGGCCGAAATGTAACAATTGGCCAAAGAATCATGATCCTGCCATTTGTTGTAAGAGTTCACAAACATCATCTGAAGCTTTTGCAGCGGGCTCTTAAGGTGGGTTCTCGTTCAAAACGTGAATCAATTTGTCAGCAGTCAAGACTGTGCTTCTAAATTGCATTTCCAGTCACCATAGTTGGGTCCTTATGCTCCTTACGATCGATTATCGTCAATCATCTTTGCAAGAAGATTGAAGGTGGCCATTGGCCATTACATCTACACAACGACTGCAGATCTTTAGAGTTATTTTTGTAAAATATTCTGTATCTCCCACGCATGATTCATATCATATGCTGAAAGTAAAGAGGGAACATATATATCTTAATCCATGTAGATGTATGATGGGATCGACTCCCATTGCTATTTATATACTCAAATTAATATACAAATATGCCGAAAATAAATCACAATGAAATCTGACTCCTCGATACTATTTATATATCCAGTGTACAAGAAACTAAGGACGGTAAGATATAATTCATTGTAGTTGAAGCGATTTGATATCTCCAATTGACCATTGATTCTCAATCACTTAAATTTATATTCAAAATATCATTTCATATAAATATCTATCCATCTAATGGAAAATATTCAAATCAGGAGAACATTTTTCCGTGGAGAAAATTGTCCAAAAAGTTCTAAATCTATTGCACTTTTGTCAATTCAGTCATAAATATTTGGGAAAAAACCACCAAAAACCCCAAACTTTGCCATCTGTGACACATTTACCCCGAACTTTTTTTTGTGACACCAAAAACCCCGAACTTTGCTTTTTGTGACACATTTACCCCAATGTATTTAGTCCATGGGCATTTTCGTCTTTTTTGCTTTTTCTTTTTTTTTTTCTTTTTTTTTCCTTTCCGGCGAGGGGGGGCCTCGCCGGCGTCGGGCGAGGGCTGCCCATCGCCGGATCCGGCGAGGGGGGCCCTCGCCGGCGTCGAGCGAGGGCGGCCCTCGCCAGATCCGGCGAGGGCGGCCCTCGCCGGCGTCAGCGAGGTTCGCCCTCGCCCGGGCGAGCGAGGGCGGCCCTCGCCCGACTCAGGCGAGGTCGACCCTCGCCGGCGTCGGGCGAGGGTCGACCTCGCCGAGTCGGGCGAGGGCGAGGTCCGCCCTCGCTTGGGCGAGCGAGGGCGGCCTCGCCCAACGCCGGCGAGGGCGGCCCTCGCCGAGATCGGGCGAGGGCGACCATTGCCGGCGTCGAGCGAGGGTCGCCCTCGCCGATCCGGCGAGGGCCGCCCTCGCTCGACGCCGGCGAGGGCCGCCCTCGCTCGACGCGGCGAGGGTCGACCTCGCAGATTGGGCGAGGCCGCCCTCGCTCGCCCAGCGAGGGCGGACCTCGCCGACGCCGGCGAGGGTCGCCCTCGCCGGGCGAGCGAGGGTCGACCTCGCCGAGTCGGGCGAGGGCCGCCCTCGCTCGACGCCGGCGAGGGGGGGCCTCGCCGGAAAGGAAAAAAAAAAGAAAAAAAAAAAAGAAAAAGCAAAAAAGACGAAAATGCCCATGGACTAAATACATTGGGGTAAATGTGTCACAAAAAGCAAAGTTCGGGGTTTTTGGTGTCACAAAAAAAAGTTCGGGGTAAATGTGTCACAGATGGCAAAGTTTGGGGTTTTTTCCCTAAATATTTTAATTGTGCTAATTGAGTCCTAAACATTTCACATTTTCCCAATTGAGTTCATCCAGCCAATTTTGGCCAAAAATTGATGACGTGAACATTGACTGTCCTTCGTGACGTCGGTGGCGCTGACGTTGACAAAATTTTAATATTTTTTTTTAATTTAATAGTTTCTTTTTCCTTTTCTTTTCTTTCTTTTTTTTTCTTCCCTTCTTCCTCTAGCTAGCTGCCCGGAGTCGGTGATGGCCAACAACTGGCAAGAGGCGAGGGCCGGCGAGGCCTCGGGCGAGCCTCGCCCGAGCTAGTGGCGAGGCCTTGCCGACGAGCCTCACCCGAGCTAGTGGCTGGCAGGGGCGAGCTTCGCCAGAGGTCTTGACCTTGCCGGCCCTCGCCTCTAGTCGGTCGTCGGGCCTTGGTGACCTACTAGAGGAAGAAGGGTAAAAAGAAAAATGAAGAGAAAGAAAAGAAAAAAGGAAAAATAAAAATAATTCTAAAAATATTATAGTATTATTAAAAATTGTCCACGTCAGCACCGGTCATTCTATGCTGATCGTGTTATGTAGGATGATAGGCGTCTACATCAGCGATTTTTGGTCAAAATTAGCCGGATGGACTCAATTGGCAAAACTAGAAAAGGCTTAAAACACATGGTACAATTAAAAAATTTGTGACTGAATTAGCAAAAATGTAATAGATTTAGGACTTTTGGATAATTTTCTCTTTCTCAATGAACATATTAAATCACCTGCAATAAAGCAACAAGAATAATGCAAAAAGGAATTCCAGTAAAAAGCATGTGGTAAGCTCTGATATCACTGAAACAAAAATATAGATGCGATAATTATCACATTTTTAAATATTTTTTGTATATAGATCAAATTTGTCTAGGAATTATCTCATGTGTTTTTATAAGAATTATGTATGAATTTGTTAGAACTATCTCTTCAGATTTCACATATGTAAATTTCTCCAAAGCATACATGTAATGCTCCGATTTGTATAGAAATCTTCTCACTATAAATATACATTCCTCACCTTATGTTATTTCAAATTTTATGATCTTTTTTCTCTCTTTTGTTTTTGAATTATTTTTGTTGGGGATAATTGTTATTTCAATCATAAACTTATTGTATAAATTTCATTAAATCTTAAACTTCCAATGTAATCCTAAATCTTTGACAAAAAATTCAATTATTTTTTTTAAATTGCTGATATGGCAGTCCAGTCATCGCTGCCGGTCACAGGCAAAAGGAAGAAAAAAATAAAAATAATAAAAAAATCGAGAAAATATTAAAATATTATTAAAAATTGTTCATGTCAACGCTGATGGTGCCACGTATGCTAGCCAACGTCAACGTCATCAACATCTTACCAAATTTAATCCAAAGGACTGAATTGATACTAATCAAAAGTTTGTGCTAGGGAAAATGACACAAACAGTTCATGAACTTTGACTCAATATGAAATTTAATCAATGAACTTGTTAATTTGTTTAATGTAGTCCCTGAACTTTAGCCTAATGTTCAATGTGATCCCTAAACTTTCAATTTATTCGATGTAATTTAGTCCCTGAACTATATGAAAATGTTTAATGTAATCCTTCAATTAATTCAAGTTCAGAGACTACATTGTATATTTTTATATAGTTCAAGGACTACATTGACACATGTACCAAAAGTTTAGGGATCACATTAAATAAATTGAAAGTTCAGGGATAACATTGAGCATTAGGCTAAAGTTCAGGGACTATATTAAACAAATTAAAAATTCATTGATCAAATTATATATTAGGGCAAAATTCAATGACTGTTTGTGTCGTTATCCCCATTTTGTTACTTTTCCTTCAAATCCAAGGGGTGAATTCCCTAAAAAACCCCAAATTTGAGGTCAAGTCCCAAATCTGTCCCGAACTTTTTTTTGTCTCTAAAAAAACCCTAAACTTTAGATCCAGTCTCAAATCTACCCTAACTTTTTTTTTGTCTAAAAAATAACCCCAAACTTTAAGTTTAGTCTCAAATCTGTCCCAAATATTATTTTGTGTAAAAAAGATAAGCAAATTTCAATTTATTTTCAAAAATATACCCGTGTGATCCAGTCCCAACTTAACGTGGCACTTCCGTGTTGATAACAAATCCACATCATCAAAGTAATGAGCGATAGGTATATACCGACATCGCATTTCCACTTCGATAACAAATCCAACGCAATGAAAATTGCTGAAATTCTCTAAAATAAAATCGTTATAGGATATGAAAGTTAGGGACGATAACAAATCCACTCCAAAAAAAACTTTTTAAAAAACTCAATTTTTAGGTTTAGACCGAATTTGTCCCGAACTTTTCTTTGTAAAAAAAAAAAGCCCCATTACTTTGTTGATGTTGATTGTTATCGACATGGAAGTCCCACGTTAAGTTGGGACTAGATCACGAGGGTACATTTTTTTAAAATAAATTGAATTTTGGTGATTTTTTTTACAAAATAAAATTTGGAGTAGATTTGGGACTAGTCTTAAAGTTTGGGGTTTTTTTTTAGATAAAAGAAAGTTCATGGCAGATTTGGTTTTTTTTCACCAAGCACACTTTTTCGCCTGAAATATCGAATCCTTGCCCTAACTCAGACGCTCAGTCCCTCCAAGTCAAGAAAATCTCAAAGAAACTTCAGCTCAGTTTCCATCTCCACATCCCAAGAGAAACGCAACGCTGTTTGATTCTTCCACTACAAGATACATATCAAACTCCACTCGCATCTCGACAAGTTTCAATCTCGCATCGGATCCACGACGATCTGCAACTTCCGCCGTGATCCATCAATGGCGAAACGCTGAATCTTGTAACTCGGGTCAGCACCGATTTGTTCTATCTGCAATGGGTCATCGAGATAACGGCAAGTTACTTTTGCTCTATCTGCTTCTTGTGTTGTCTTATGTATCTGGGTTTTGGGTGTTCGGGAACTGTCATCATGTGCCCGCTCCGGACGAGCATGAGCGGGTAAATTACGTCGCAGTCGATGCTGAAGGTGTTGATTTGCGCCGTGAACAGCATCTTTTGTTGCAGAGGCTCGAGGAATTAGTGAGGAATCTTAGCGAGGTAGTTTCTAGATTAGAATCGCGAGGAGCTTCGGCGCCGAGCGGGGATGTTTCGGAGAGTCCGAAACTGTTGAATAAGGATAGTGTTGAGAAAGGAGGCTATAGTGATAAGAAAGTTAGCGGAGAAGTTGAGGAAAGGGATGGTTTCGGGAGCAATGCTCAAGATGGGGAGAGAGCAAGGCGGGCTTCTGTTACTAAGTATAGTCCTTTTTGGTCTGAGAAATTCCAGTTTGTGTCTGCGGTGAAATTGGATCTCGAAGCTACGTGCATCAATGTCTTGCCTTATCGAGATTATGAAGGGCTTAGCAAGTATGTCACCGTTGGGGATGAGAAGGGGAGGGTCTATGTGATCTCGAGAAATGGGGATGTTCTGGTTGAGTTTGACACGATGTTGGAATCGCCAGTTACGGCCATGGTGTCTTATATGTCGGTTTATAAAAATGAGAGTGTCTTGGTGACGGGGCATCAGAGTGGTGTGATCTCGGTGCATAAGGTATGGGAGGGATCAAATGGTGAAGAATGGAGCCCGCTTTTTATGAAAACGGTTGGTAAATTCGCTTCACATGGAAATTCTGAGCATGAGGGATCAGCGGTTAGCATATTGGAAGTACATCATGTTGGGAGAATGAGATATATTATATCAACAGATATTAGTGGAAAGATTTCTGTCCTCAAAGAAGATGGGACGGCGTATGGTTCCGTGATGCCTTCAAGTAGGCCGCTTGCGTTTTTAAAGCAGAGGCTTCTGTTCTTGACCGAAACAGGGGCTGGGTCATTGGATTTGAGGAGCATGAGACTCCGAGAATTTGAATGTGAAGGGTTGAATCATTCCCTAGCGAGGTCCTACGTTTTCGATGCCACTGAGCGGTCTAAAGCATATGGATATACATCAGAGGGTGATCTCATTCACATGTCGCTGTTGGGGGATGTCGTGAACTTCAAATGCCGGGTCAGATACAAGAAGAAGTTTGAGATGGAAGAGCCTCTTGCTTTAGAGACAATTAAGGGTTACTTGCTTGTTGTTAACCGAGAGAAAGTTTTTGTCTACAATGTATCATCCCACCATTATGTTAGAGTCGGTGTGCCTCGGCTTCTTTTCTCTGCTTACCTGGACGAGATAAGATCTTCTTTCTTGAATCACCCAATGAACGATGTAGGTGACGCAAGGAAAACAACAGCACCTTTGGTTGCTTGCGATCGGGAAAAGCTGGTTGTTCTTGGACTTGGCAGTGGCTTTGTTGGGATGTACCGCTCTAATCTTCCAATTTTCAAGGGCGAGTTCAATACAATGTTCTGGACGAGTCCTGTGCTGTTCTTCATACTCTTCTTGTTTGGAGCATGGCATTTCTTTGCCAAGAAAAAGGAGGCGCTCACATCATGGGGACCTGACGATCCTTTTAGCTCCACATCTGCCACAACTGGCGCTCCATTAGGAGCTACTTCTGGAGATCGGTCTTTCGTTGAGTCTTCCTCTAGAAGTGATCTAATGGATATGCGAGGTAGTGGCCTGAGACCGTCGCAAAGATATGGCTCTCCTTCCCGCTATCCTTCTGGAGCGACCAGTTCATTTAGACCGAGTTCGGCCGATCACAACTCTAGACCTCCTGTTGATCCAAACTACAGGACTTCAGAGCTAAAATTTAGAGGGTCCCCTATGGAGCCTTCCGGTTTTGCCAAAAGAAGGGAGAACCTATTTGTAAACAGCCAAGCTGGGGATGATAATAACTGATACATAAACACAGGTCGTATACTTTCTTGGAGAGTCGTGGTTCTCTCATATCCTATCAAAATCAAACATTTGAGCTAAGAGAAGCTGCCTGGACCATCAGTTGCTGAGACTTTGTTACTCTGACACACCAAAAAGCAAAATAACGGAGCATTTGAAGAATCTTTTGTACTATGTCTTCATCTATGAACACAGTGGTAGTGAGTTTCTTTGAGCCTAAAGCCATCTTTCTTGAATGTTTCTTTCTCTGTCTGGTGGAAGAGTAAAAGATTTCATCACAGACTCCATCTTGGGTGTGTATGAAATGGCATACTTGAACAGTGTGATTCATTGGGATGATTTGGAAAGAAGGAAACGAATACACTAACGAATGTATCGTCTTTGGAGAGAAGGCAATGGAAGGAAAGTAACTATCATTCATATTCTCCTGTTTTTGGTGGGATTCAGATCTCACTAAAAAGGGCATTATGAAAAATGGTTTCTGTACTCCTGTTTGTGGCAAAAAATGATACAGGGATCCTTGTTCGCTTTGCCAACCACTAAAAATTAGCTACAGATTACTGAAGGGGAATAGTTATCCACTGAAATCATCTCGTTTTTCACAATTCTCAAAGGAACGGATTAATTTGTGCAGAGTGCCAAGAACACCAGACCGAAGTAGACCGGCAGCAGCCAAAATCTTTTAGGTCACAGCAGCTGCTAAGGCTTGCTCCTCTAACGAAATGCGAGAATACATATATTACTTTTGATCATATTGCAAATTTTTATCGCACCAGTAACCAGCAAATTCTAAGGGTTAGGTACAATCGTAGCCGAGTTTCATGTTTGGGCGAATTGGTTCGTATTGACGCTATTAAATTATGGACTTGGCACAGAGTGGGACTTGCGTTGCCGATTTGGTTGCATTGGCCCTGCATCGGCAAATAGCAAGCTGGAAAAACTGAAAGGGCAAAGAGAAAGGGGTCGGTCACCAACGTAGGGTGAGGGTTAAGGGGCAGCTGTGCGCATGAGAGTAAGCGAACGCGAGGCCCGACGACCCTCACCTAAGCACGGGGGAGGTGATCAGACCCTTACAATGCTCTGCGAGTTCAGTGGCTAGGCTGTGACAGCCTTTAACCCTAGGAATAATATGACCCGCTGTTATTATCTACCTTTACCCGCTGTTGAGACGCCCCAATGTAACCTATTACAAGAATCTTGTTTCTGTTTCATTTGCAAGATGACTGTAGTTAAAAGGTGTAGACTATGTAGCTAAAAAGCAAGAACAGGTGATTTATGGACGATGTATTTCCATCTGAGAATGAGTTAACGCTTCATTCGAGGTTGTTGAGTTTCAATGCAAACCCCAACACTGACAGAAAGACCACACAGGTATACACGAGCTCTTAGAAAGAGCTCAGGCAGCTGATTTTCAATATGTAATATCTGTCCTCTAGAATCTAGAGATGAAGATGAGTGAGAAAGTAACATAAAACTGAAAGGAAGCAGTACTTATAAAACAGGAGAGAAAAACCAAATCATGGTCAATATTCTATACTGAACTTCAAAAGGATCAATTGCTCTTTAAGGATGATTTTTCCTTTGACTAGTTTGACGATGATTACAAGTAAAACAAAACAAAATAAAGTCTTCCCAGGTCACTTGCATGATGCCCGCGACCAAAAGCACGTCTCCTTGGAATATCTGACCACCTTCATCATACAGGCACTGGCAGGCCTTTCTTTGCCATGACATCAAGAATATCATTAAGAGCTTGACAAACTCCAACTATCTGCAACCGCAAGAACATGAAATATACTGGTCAGTATGAAACTGAGAACACCATTCTTAGATTTTAACATAAATAATAACAGAATAACACATAAGCACATCAAAGAAGCTGATAACCCAAAGCTTGTTTTCCTTTCTGAACCTTGTATGCAGCATATTGAACAATGATGCGAACTAGGACAGCAGAATCATTATTGCTGATTAGAACTTAATGATTACAGAAGAAAGGGTGACAAAATCACCTGTTGATCCCATTGTTCAAGCTCCTCAGTGTCATCCTCAAAATGGATGACAGCTTCCACCTAAAGAACTTCCCAAATTAGTTCCCCAGAAACCAATGCTGAAGAGGAGCTTACACACAATCTATAGTCAAGGAGCATGATATTTTGCCAAAGAGAATATCGTACCTGATCAATCGATCCTTTCATCCTATCCTCGTAAATCATTCTTGAGGCTATCTTTTCAGCCTACATGCAAATGCCGACTCTCATTAGTAGAAAACCCAATCAAGGTGTAGATCACACAACCCAGTTACATGTGCGCGCGTGCCTGTGAGCCGGTTAACGGAGGACTTTTCTTTTTCTCAAAAACAAATAAAGATAACAAAGGGTTGGTGGCAAGGACAATTTAGGTATTACAGTTTGCGTATGCTGCAGTATATACCGATGAATGCCGGTGTTCTACATGCCCATCTATCTCACAAGAATAAACAGAAAAAAAGGTTATAGCAAAATGCCAACAATATTTGTGCGTGCAGATGCTTTTCTTTCTTTCTTTTTCTTTTGTGGGGGATTGGGTGGGGCCAGGGGGTGGGGGTGGTGAGGGAGAGGCCCGTGATCCCATTTTCAATTTCAGTTTTCAGCATCTGCACAAGACTCGCATTGCTAAAATAGTGGAGTTACTATTGTTGGGAGAAGCTCATTCCATAGTATCCAGTGTACCAAAAGAATATATACAAAATGAAATTTACTACATTCTGAGTTAGTATCAGACCTACCTTATGAGGAGGAATGCCCAACAAAGTTCCGAGCTCATCAAAGCTATGCCAGTAATTGTGAAAATGGAATATTAGTTTTGGTCATGTCGCAAAAGAAACTAAAAGAATTAGGCAAGCAAAGTGGAGGCCTTTTCAAACCTTATATTTTTATACAGTTTACTCGCACTCAAAAGGTTATGCTCAATCATGGCCCGATCCAGCACGGTGAAATTGTCTGGCAGAAGTGCTTTCTGTAAATTCAAATTTGGATAAATAAAGAAACAAAAAGCATCATATGGCACCAAATTATCAAATGGAAGCATGAGCCAGTAACCTGATGTGCTTTTAGTTCTTCAGCAAATGCATCTATCTCCGGTTTTCTTAGGATCCTCTCCAAATAGACCTGTTCAATTTACATTTTATATGTTCATGAATCATACGGACTTCTGAACCAAATGAAGCTGCAATCAACTCAGATATGGATGGGAGTTCACTGAAGTTTGGTAAAATTTGAAGCCCGGGGCACCTTTTGCAATATTGGATATATTTTCAACTTTGAGCATCTTTCATCCTGACAAACAACCAGATAAAAAGGTTAATTATAGATTAAAGTAAAAATTAACATTCCCAATTCTTGAAGGAACAGATTACTTTGTACAGAGTGGCAAGAACACGAGACCGTTGTGGACCGGCAGCAGCCAAAATCGTACAGGTCACAGCAGCCGCTAAGGCTTGCTCCAATGCCTCCTCGTCAATTTCTCTGCAATGAAAATATCAAACAGCATTAAGAACGACTATTGAAAGTGTCTATCTATTATTTGTAAAAAGCTTCGGCAGGAGGAAATAAAGACAACAAATTGTTTTGCAAGTAACAAGTGTACAAATAGTAAAGCAATATAACAAAATAATTGAAGAAAGTTGATCATCAGCATCATCATGCAAAATATTTACAAATTGATTGTAAAGCCAGTAAAATTCGCCAAGATGACTTGCATGCTTTCCTTTGTGAGGGCATCTTGAAACAAGTGTATATCATATGCCAAATCCCTTTTTATGCCACACTGAACATCAGGGACAAATGCCATTTGCTATCTTCAATGTAAAATTATTACTTTTCTTAACACACCCTAATAGAGGGAGAGATATATAGTTAACCAGGTTTCAGAACTAATTCATGGTATTATCACCCAACTTCTAATCTAACACTGTTACTGCTGAATCCCAGTCATTGAGGAAAATACCACGCCTGTTAAGTCACAAGAATAATATCCACATACGTGCATATGCACTCAGGAAGACACCTATCTTCTCATGTCAAAAACTTCTAGCAATGTCAACCGAAAGGGTACTCTATCCAGAAGAATCATGGCTGCATTTAGGTTTCTCGCCTACAAATGTGGGTACTAGAATGAATTTAAAATAAAAGCGATGACATATCAAACATCGCTTCCCCCCCCCCCTCTCCCCCACCCAAAAAAAAAAAAAAACAAGAAACCTAGATAGCGAGACAGAGAACCAGGCGGAGGAGGAAAAAGACCAGACGAATTACAAAGGGCAGTTTTTCAGCTCAAAGTAATGTCCAATATTAGGTCTTGATTTCTATATACTTACCTTGCCTTAGTGTATATTACATACTTCTCTTGCTTAATTGTCCTCAAATAAGGGCCTAAACTTCACCACATTCAAGTTTTTTGCAATGACAACAATCAGAAGTTACCTGTGATTGATGAGAACTTATCATTTCGCTTGTCTTAATTTTAAATTCTAACATACGTTCTAGTCCATCATGTTCCTTTTAGCTTGTGAGATCCCAACTATTTACTGTGAATTTAATGCTTGTACATCATTCTAATTTTCTGCACTTCCATTTTCTATCAGTTATTAGGTGCAGTATACATTTCTCCCCTCCCAAAGTCCACTACATAATCTAATGGCACCAAATATCAAAACATAATGTTACCAAAACTAGTATCTTGCACTTGCATGGTTGAACAGTGAGTATGAGTTACATGAAGTGCCTGATAAGGGTCTTCAAAAACAATGACCAACTTAAAAGCTCGAGGAGAAATGCTTTAGGTTTTCCATGGTTGGGCCTTCAAATAATAGCACACTAATAAAAGAAGTGTTAAAGATTCTGTCACATACAGGTTTTTAATAAATGACATCCAAAAACATATGGGTTTGCAATGCTTGTCAGACTACAGCATATTTATAGTATATGCGTTATCTATGGGAAAAAAAATGACTGAAAGCATATAGTTTCCACCCATAAAAGAGAATGATGAAATTCAATCTGATCATCAAATCTCAATAGGCCTCAAATATATCACAAAAAGACAAGAGTAGACTGTTCACTGTACATACTCATCTCCTATTTGTCGCTTCTCAATCTGAGATATATCATAATACCGCAATGCGGCTTCTAAGAACTTTCTCTTCAAATCTAAAATCCTTGCATAACAAACCTGATAAGAAGAGAAAATCATAACAAGTTAAAAATCAAATTGACAAAAGCTAGCTTTGCTGTTACACATCAAACAAGGGCAAACCTTGTATTGTAAATTCAAAACTTCATGCTGACTATTGCTAACTAGGAACGAAGCTTTGTTGATGAAAGCTTC